TCTTTTTTATTTTCCTTTAAGAAAAGAAAGGAGCTAAGATGGAGAGCAGGCTAGGAGACTCTAAAGAATAGGATTTATTTTCATCAATTTGGAAATAAGGACCCTTGTATTAGACCAAAATTTCCCCTGAAACTTTAGTGTTGATGTTTCTCAAGCGGTTTTATTTTTTTTTTTTGCCTGTCTTTTTTATTTTCCTTTAAGAAAAGAAAGGAGCTAAGATGGAGAGCAGGCTAGGAGACTCTAAAGAATAGGATTTATTTTCATCAATTTGGAAACTGAACAGAATGAAACAAACATGGGAATCACTGATCATGACTTCATTTGGGTTGAAATCTGAAGCCCAGGAAATGTGCAGAAGCATATTTCCATTTCCACTGATAATTTTATACTTCTCTTAATAGTTGCTTATTTACAGACATAATTATTCCTTTAATTAGCCTAGAGATTTTTCTCTCTCTAAAATATGTGTTAACTAGTTGATTATTAAGCAAGTATTTTGTGCCAAGCACTGTCCTAGGCACCAGGCATCTAGCTATGAGTGAACAAAAATAGATGTCAAAGAGGTCAAAGTTCTCACAGTATTTATATTCCAGTGGGAGGAGACAATACATCAATAAACAAATACGTATTATGTTGGCTGGTGAAAAGATGGAAAAATAAAGCAGGTGAGACAAATGGATAAGGAAAATAAAATAAATAAGAAAAAATAATCCCCAAACTAAAGCTGGGCAAGAAGTTAGAGAATGATAGTCGGTGGTGACTATGTGTGATTTTGAGTGGGTTGTTCTGGGGAATCCTTTCAGAAAGGGTTTCATTTGAGCTAAGACCTTAACATTCAAATACCAACTTGTGTGTGTTTGTGTGTAGGTTTTTTTTTTTGTCACCACGTAATATTTTATCAAGAATACCTGGAATTTCCTTGGTATCAAGAATTTAGGAACCATAATTTCCCCTATATTGACCTTGATGACATCTATAGCAGAGTTGTAACGTTCAGCTTTCCATTTAGAATATGTTGATAACCATTCCGACATTAGAAAATTCCTCTTTTCTACATTCATTCTTTATCTCGTCCTATGAAAGGGCAAAATGTAGGAACCGGGCCAAAAATGGCTTATTATTATAAATGTTCTTAAGTTTGGATATGGAAATTTAGTGCCTAAAGCTTTCATATTTGTTTGAAACACCCATGCCTTTTTTTCCCCTTCATCTTTTTTAAAAGCTAAGATTCAGAACTGCAGTAACAAGAAGGAACCAATTTGGGGGCATTGGAACTAGCAGTTCCAGCGACATTTATGAATTTTCTTGTTTGATCCGTGTAAGTCTGTTCCGGGGAGGTTACATAGATCTGAGGTCTGGTACATCCTTCAAACTTACCTCCCTCTGGTGGCCACTTTAACACCTGAAAATCCCCATGCCTTTCCATCAAAGTCTCCATAACGGAGACAGAGGGCCTGCTGAGTTGGATTTTTATGGTAAATTCCTTTTGTATTGTATGTTTATGTCTCATTACACCTTGAATTTTTACTATGTTGTTCTCCATCATCCCAAACACATTCAACCGAAGGCTGAATATTTTTTTTTTCTTGCTGTGATACTCATGTGTCTATGACAGAAGGAAGGCAATCATCTGGGGATGAATGGACCTTTTAGACCTGCAGTTCACATTCCAGTTTTATCTTAGGAGCAGGCAGCATGCCCAATTTATGCTGTGCTTTGTTTCTAGATTGTTTTAGCTTGGCTGACGTCATTTTCAGTGGGTGAAAGAGCTTGTCCTGTACTTCCTGGCCCATCATATGGAGGCCTTTAGAAGAGGGGAAAGAACCTGCTTACATTTCTACTCCATGGCCACCAGATGGGACCCTTTCCAGGGATGATTTGAGAACCATTGTATCAACAGGTTTGATGGTGGTGGAACAGAGAGGCGCTTGCTGCTGGATGACAGGGAGGACACACTTTATTATTATTTGAAGCTTCTCTGTCCTCAGTCCCAAACTTCCACAACTGCCAAGGAAATATGTAAGAAAAATTTATTTTTAAACATGAGGAGAGTAGGAGGCTCTATGCTACGTTTATAGCGGGGTTGGGAGAGGATTCGTATGAGCATCCCTGTGGGATGTGGGGTGTAAACAGAACAAATGTGGTAAGAACAGGAGCGAAAGCAAGAAACAATGGAGAAGCAGAAAGGACTATGGAATCAAATATATCCCCCAGTTATATTTGAGGAAGATTATTCTTGAAGAGGAGAAATTCTTGTGGTGATGGTAGTAGATGAGGGATAGAAGTGGTAGAGGAAGTAGAGATGAGGGAGGAGGTGGCGACATTGGTGGAGGTGGATGGTATACTGGAAGTGTTGGAGAAATTGAAAGAAGGGTGAAAGAGGTTGTGGAGGGGGTAAAGTTGGTGATGGAGAAACTTGTGGTGGTAGTCAAAGTGGTAAAGCCAACTAGATTACACAAATATCCAATCTTTATACAAGGCAGAGTAAAATAAGTACCCTAGTAAATATGAGAGCATGCAGCCACATGAAATACTTTTTACTTTTTGTTTACCTTGAGTGTTCAGATA